TGGGGGGGGTTTAGGGTTTAGGGGTTTAGCATTTAGGGTTTAGGGGTTTAGCGTTTAGGGGTTTAGGGGTTTGGGGTTTAGGGGTTTAGGGTTTAGGGGTTTAGGGTTGAGGGCTTTGGGGGTTTCATTTTTGCACCCAGGCTCAAATCCTGCATGTTCAGGGTGTCATAAGAAGTCGACGGTCTGTAGGGGCCTACGATAATAAGGGGGCTTAATCGACTTTTTGCAAGGGTTTGTAGGGCCGGAGACGATTTTTTTGTCAATGTAGGGACTCCCTTCTTCATGGCCCCTACGTGAATGACCCTACTTTTCGTGGCTTACAGATTCAGGGATTGATTGGTGATTCGGGTTTAGGGATTAGCATACCCGAGGTCTCTGTTTGGTCGCGAGAGACAAGTGTCCTGGCGTGACTTTATTTCCACTGCAAGAGGCCGTCAACAAGGAGCCCCCTTCGTTTTTCACATGCATCGTCGTGGAACAGCTTGAAAGCGTGACGTTTCCTGCAGAAGTCTCCTGTGCCATACATATCAACTTGCGCGTCATGCATACCTCAAGGTTCTAACCTCATGTAGTAATAGTATTAATAGTAGCAGTAATAGTAGTAATAGTAGTAATATAATAATAATAAGTAGTAGTACCCACTGTTCAGCCGACATCTGCTGTTTGAACGTAGCCGTCCTCGGCCTCTGACCCTGAGCTATTCTCAAAGTCATTGTTGCCTGGGCGGCATGTGGGCTCCTTGGGGTCTGTGGGGTGTGGAGCCGCATAGCTATAGAGTTGAGAGTTCGGCTTCGGCGTTTTCCGACTGTCGCCTGAAACCTCAAGTCAGAAGCCCCTTAAGGGAGCATAGGGTCGAGGGTGATGTTTGGAAACCCAAAGTATGGTGGACGGCTTTTCTGGGGTGGAGAGGGCGGAGGGGTGAGTCACACTAAGCATGCTTAAAGCTCGGGTGAATGGTAGAAGGCAGCCCCTGACAAGGATTTAGCAGTTCTCTTGACAAAGAGCAGGCATAACTCTGCTTCAACTGGACAGAGTTCTGAACTGACAGGCAACGAGAAGAGACCATGGTGTCCCCGAACCCTATCGAAACGCTCTCTTAATCCGCTGGCCAACATGTAGTCCCGAACTTTGCAGTTCGTCTGCGACAAGTACAGCCTGAACATGAAGAGCCTCAGCAAGCCATTGGGGGCAAGCCGAGTGAGGATTCTGGTCACACGATCCAATGTTTGGGGCTTACGCTGACGGTTTTCGGCATCCCACGCACCTATCCCCACAACTAGAACGACTATAGCATCCCTGTCCGCTCTTTCGCCGCCTGCGGCAGTGCAACTTCCTTGACCCGGCGGGGCGCCGGGGACCAAACGCGGCGTTCCAAGGTGGCACTCTGCAAAAAGAAGGTCCCTGAATCCAGAGCAGAAGCCGGACCAGTCCTTCAAGCGACGGTACCAGTGATCTGCCAGTATCGGCTCTCGGAGGTATGACTCAAACAAGACCGGGTCTGCCTCCACCCTGGCGATGTGCTTTATGAGCTGAGCCGTGTTCTCAAAGTCATGCGCGCTGATGAATGCACGGGTGTTGAAATCACTCATGCCCTTACCTCTGCTCGAGCAAGATGGATCGCCCCAATAGATCGGAATAGACTCGGAGGCAAATGCATGTAGAATCTTCTCCGTGCAGTAGCCTGGATGAGAAGCATTCTCGAAACAAACGTTGAACCGGTAACCACGCAAGAAGTCCATTTTGTCCCTAACTGGCCCCCCAACATTGTTCAGAACTTCACCGCCGCAAGCGACTTCTTTGTACTTGCTCGACAAGATCTGGACAAATCGCGTCCTGAACTCGGCATTGTACATCGTCGCATTGCTGGCCACAAAACTGCAGAAGCCGGCACGATTGCGCACCGTGGTATTCACGTTGTTCCTGAGCCTAGCTTCGTGAATCTGCAAAACTGTGTGGACTTCCTTGTTGAAAATCCACAGCGGTATCCGTGCGTGACGCGAAAGGGGGACATCTTCCAGCTGATCAAAAGAAATGCAAAGAGGGATTCGGCCGACGGGCGGTCGAACATTCTCACCTGTGAAGAATACGAGCTTAGACGTAGAACCGGACTGAAGATGTCGCACGTGGGATCGTCCAAACCTGGGTTCTTGTAACGTGTTACATATAACACTAAGTATAACCTGCAATAATAAGGACATACAGCTAGACGTATGCTCTCCGGAGTATGGCATACTAGCGAAATTTCTTAAAATGAAGCCAGGAACAAGCTGAACATTATAACATCCGGGTGGTCCTGGGGCTCCACCACCTGGATGCCACGCAAGTTGGTCCTGAACCAGTCCTTGGAGAACCACCTGTGGATGCAAGCAATGGTCCCTTGTTTGAAACTTGTTTTGGGAGCTAATCTAATATAAAAAAAAAGGTAGGGAAAGAAATAAATTATACTATACTTTCTACTAGGCTCCTAGGGCATTGTCACTGTGCCGCTATAGGCAATTACCATCCAGGAGCCCGAACATGTTCAACAGGCCCCACCTGTCGGTGTTGTCTTCGAAGCCCGGCCAGAAGTCCAGGAAAGCGAGTCGCCCGTCGACCTTCCCCGGCCTCCCGGGGGAGGGCCAGGGCCGACTTCGGGAGCCTCCGCGTCGGAGGCTCCAAGCTCGGCCTACGCAAGCCGGCTCACAGGAGCGCACCTTGCATTCCGAGCATCGGACGTCCGCATGGGCCGGCCCAGATAGGCTTGCCACCATGGCCATGCATCTTGTCTGCTCGCCGTGTCGGGTTTAGGGCTTAGGATGCAGAGTCTCATGGGGGGAGGTTGCGAGAACCCGAGCTCTGGGGACTTCATCTATACCAAGGTTGCCCACAAGAAGGATGAGCCACCACAGCCCAAGTAGCAATGTGGCTCCTTCGCCCTCCCTTACTGCATCCTACGTGGCAGAATCCCTGTAAATAAATCCCAATGAATTCCCGCGCAGCCCATGAGCAAAAGGGATGCCTTCTAATACAGAATCTGTCACCAAAGCCTTGAGCCCAAAGAACCAGTGGATCGAAGATCATAGAAGGATAGTAGTGCTGAGGGTTTAGGGGTGAGGGGTTTAGGGTTCACCAGATTCAACAGCAAATGTAAAACATGATCAGTAAACATATGTATTATAAAAAAAGCTTCAAGCCGTACAGAAAATGGGGACCTGTCGACAGCGACAACCCCACGGTGCCTTCTGCAACAACTGGTTTCCAAACATTTGCGCTAATGTAGGGGCCTTAATAATTAGAATACGGTTTTGGGGTATATTATCCCAAAAGTATAATAAGGAGCCCCCATAATGGCATAGGTAATTATAAGGATTCTATACTAAATACATTGCAGGCCCCAATGAAGCTTGGAGCCCGAAACTTGCTGCTAGACACTCTTTTAACTACAACGACTCCACTACTACCACCACTACTACTAC